ATCTGAACACTATGGGCAATTTAGCATGGCCAATCCACCTCCTCGCACATCTTTGGACTGTGGGAGGAAACCAGTGCACCCGGAGGAAACCCACGCAGACATGGGGAGAATGTGCAACTCCACACAGACAGTCACCTGATGGTGGAATTGAACCCAGATTCCTGGCGCTATGAGCAGCAGTGCTAACCACTGAGCCACCATGCCACCCTATATGTTGTTGTTCCATTGTTTAGAAAGGTACCAAAGACAAGCCAGGGAACTACAAGCCAGTGAGCCTGACATCAGCGGTAGGCAAGTTATTGGAGAGGATACTGAAGGACAGGATCAACCAACATTTGTATCGTCAAGATCTGATAGCATGGATTTGCCCGCAGTAAGTCATGTCTGACAAACGTTTTGGAGTTTTTTGAAGAGGTAACCAAGAGTATAGATGACGGTAGGGCAGTGGATGTTGTCTATATGGACTTTAATAAGGCCTTTGACAAGGTCCTCCATTACAGACTAGTCATAAAGGTAAGGTCGCACAGGATTCAGGGAGAGCTAGCTAAATGGATTCAAAACTGGCTCAATAGTAGGAAGCACAGGGTGACGTTTGAAGGTTGTTTCTTGGACTGGAGGCCTGTGACTAGTGGTGTCGGTGCTGGGACGTTTGTTATTTGTTATTTACATAAATGATCTGGATGTGAATGTAAAAGGCATGATTAGTAAGTTTGCGCATGATACAAAATTAGGAGATATCGTTGATAGCAAAGGAGGTTATCAAAAAATAAGCAGGGATCCTGATCAGCTGGAGAAGTGGGCTGAGGTTTGGCGAATGCAATTCAATACAGATAAGTGGGAGGTGTTGCACTTTGGAAAGTCAAAGCAAGGTAGGACTTATACAGTAAATGGTAAGGTCCTGAGGAGTGTTATAGAACAGAGGGACCTAGGAGTACAAGTACATAGTTCATTGAAAGCGGCGTCATAGGTAGACAGAGTGGTGAAGGCGGCACTTGGCATGCTGGCCTTCATCTGTCGAGGCACTGACTGTAGGGAGTTGGGACATTTTGTTACAATTGTATACGTCATGGGTGAGGCCGCACTTGGGAGTACTGTGTACTATTTTTGGGCACAGTGTTATAGGAAAGACATAGTTAAACTGGAAAGTGTGCAAAGATGATGTATGAGGATGTTGCCAGGACTAGTAGGCCTGAGTTACAGAGGTTGGCCAGGATGGGACTTCATTCCTTGGAATGTAGGAGAATGAGGAGTGACCTATTGAGGTGTATAGTATCATGAGGGGCATAGATAGGATGAATGCATATGGTCTTTTTCCAGGGATGGGAAATTGAAAACTAGAGGGCATGCGTTTAAGGTGAGAGGGGAAAGATTTAAGGAGGACCTGAGGGGCAACTTCTTCACGCAGATGCAATAGCAACATTTGAAAAACATTTGGATAGGTACATGGATGGCAAGGGTATAGAAGTATATGGACCTATTGCAGAAAATTGCCGAGTGGGCACCATGGTCAGTGTGGACCCAGTTTAGGCCAGAGGGCTCATTTCATGCTGTATGACTTAATACATTAGATTGGGGCGGATGTTTGAGAGTAAACCCACATCTGACATGTGGGTGTCTTTTAAAGGCCAGCTAATCAGAGTTCAGGACCAGCATGTTCCTATGAGGATGGTAATATTTAGGAACTCTGGATATCAAGCAATATTGAAAGGTTAGCAAAGAAAAGGAAGCATTTCCTAAGGTTTAGGAAACTTAAATCAGACAATATTCTTATGGAAAAAAAGGGGCCATAAAATGTCCTTGACAAGTAGGATTACGGAGAATCCCAAGGTATTTTATACATACATTAGAAGCTAGTGGGCAGCCAGGCAAAGGATAGGCCCACTCAAGGACAAAGGAGGAAATTTACGCATGGAGCCAGACAAAGTGGGTGAGGTCCTTAATGAGTACTTCACATTGGTATTCACCAAGGAGGAGATGAATGATTGTAAGATTAGGGAGGGGCATGTTGATATTGTTGGGTGTTTTAAGGTAGATCAGTCCTCAGGGCCTGATAGGATCTATTCCCGGACAATGAAGGAGGCAAGGGAGGTAATTGCTAAGGCCTTAGCAGAAATCTTTGTATCTTTTTTAGCCATATGAAAAGTCCCAGAAGACTGGAGAATAGCAGACGTTGCTCCTTTGTTCAAGAAGGGCAGCAGGGATAATCCAGGAAATTATAGGCCAGTGAACCTTACATCAGTGGTAGGGAAATTATTGGAGAAGATTCTTAGGGACAGGATTTACTCATATTTGAAAAGGCATGGGCTTATTAGGGATAGTCAGCATAGCTTTTGCATAGGGGGAAGACTTTTCTCTCAAACTTGATTGAGATTTTTTGAGGCTATGACGAAGATGATTGACCAGAGTAGGGCAGGCACGTTGTCTACATGGACTTTACTAAAGCCTTTGACAAGCTCCCTCATGGTAAGCTGGTCCAGATGATTAAGTCACATAGGATCCACGGTGAGTTGGTAAGTTGGATACAAAATTGGCTTGGTCATAGAAGACAGAGCGTAGTTGTGAAGGGGTGTTTTTCTGACTGGAGGTCTGTGAGTAGTGATGATCTAGATGAAAATGTGTTTGGTCTAATTAGTAAGGTGCAGATGACATGAAAATTAATGAAATAGCAGATAGTGCGGAAGGCTGTCAAAGGCTACAGCAGTGTATAGATCAGTTGGAAAGTTGGGCAGATGGAATTTATCGAAACAAGTGTAAGGTGATGTATTTTATAAGGTCAAACGCAAGAGGAAAGTCTACAGTAAATGGCAGGACCCTTAGGTGCACTGATTTGCAGAGAGATCTTGGGATGCAAGTCCAAAGCTCCCTGAAAGTGGCAATACAAGTGGATAAGTTGGTGAAAAAGTTGTATGGCATGCTTGCCCTCATCAGTTGGGGCAATGAATAAGGAAGTTGGCAAGTCATGTTGCAGCTGTATAAGACTTTAGTTAGCCCACATTTATAGTATCGTTGCAGTTCTGGTTGCCAAATTATGGGAAGGACGTGGAGGCTTTGGAGAGGGTGCAGAAGAGGTTTACCAGGATATTGCCTAGATTAGAATCTATTAGTTAGAAGGAGAGGTTGGACAAAGTTGGATTGTTTTCAATAATGCATCAGAGGCTGAGGGAAGTATATATATCTGACAGAATTATATAAATTGAGAGAGGCATGGATAGGGGGATAGTTGGAGTCTTTTGCCCAGGGTAGAAATGTCAAACACAAGGGTTATAGGTTTAAGGTGAGAGGGGCCAAGTTTAAAAATGTGCAAGGCGCGTTTTTTTTTAAATTAGGGGGTTGTCAGTGCCTGGAACATGCTGCCAGGGAGGTGGTAGAAACAGTTACAATAGCAACTTTTATGAGGCATTCAGACAGACACATGAACAGACAGGAAATAGAGAATACATATAGACCATGCACAGGCAGATAGAATTAGTTTAGAACAGCATCACAGTTCGTACAGACGTGGTGAGCCAAAGCATCTGTTCCTATGCTACGCTGTTCTATGTTCGAGTGTCCAATTCACTCAAACCCCCTGTAGTTGCCGACCTTAACCAGGCTTCCAGGTAAGCAATAACATGATTCTAAAATTCTCATCCATGCTTCCAAATCTTTCAACACAGGCACCCTGCCTAAATCTGTAAACTTCTCCATGCCCACAACCTTTCAAAATAATTGGGCTCCTCCAATTCTAGTCTCAAGCATCACTTGAGGTGTGCCACAATGATCGGTGCTGGGTCCACTGTAGTTAGTCTTTTATATAACCAATTTGGATGAGAATAGAGGAGGCATGTTTAGTAAGTTTGTGGATGACACCAAAATTGGTTGTCTAGTGGGCAGTGAAGAAGGTTATCTAAGAGTACAATAGGATCTTATTAACTGGGCCAAATGGGTTGAGGGATGGCAGAAGGAATTTAATGCAGATAAATGCAAGATGTTGCATTTTGGTAAGACAAACCTGGACAGGACTTGCACAGTCAACGGTAGGGCCCTGGGAAATTTAGTCAGAGAGACCTAGGGGTGCAGGTACATAGTTCCTTGAAACTGGCATCACAGGTAGACTTTTAGAGGTTTGTAAGGTAATGAGGGGCATAGATAAGGTGAATAGCTAAGATCTTTTCCTCAGGTAGGGGAGTCTAAACCTAGAGGACGTAAAGTTTAAGATGAGAGGCAAAAAGATTTAAAAGGGACATGAGGAGCAACTTTTTCCCACAGAGGGTAGTGCGAAGATGGAATAAGCTTCAAGAGGAAGTGGGAGAAGCAGGTACAACTACAAGATTTAAACCACTGGAAAGCTACATGTATAGGAAAGGTTTGGAGGGATAAGGGTCAAACATAGACAAACTGGACTAGCTTAGTTTAGGACACCTGGTCGGCATGAACGAGTTGAGTCAAGTGGCCTATTTCTGTACTGTATTGACTCTATTCACTCTAAAGCAGGTGGCTATGCCTTCAGCTACCCAGATGCTAAGCTCTGGAATTTCCTGATGAAACCTGTGTGCGTCAGTATCACTCTCTCTTCTTTCAAATTGGTGAAACCCACCATTCACCAAGCTTATAACTTAATAACTCAGGTGACTGGGTGTCCAAAATGTTTGTGCTGATGTTGCTCTGATCAACTACCTCAGGACACCTGCGACATGAAAATACACTGCATAAATACGAGTTACGACACGGACTATATTGTTGTGCCAGTGAGCTGCTCATGTTGGGTGTTGATTAGTAGTACCACAGCTCAGCCACATGAAACTCTGATATTTTCATGTCAAAGCTAGGTGATGAAACCCAGCCAGGTGTTGCCCACTTAGTTAATACTCAGCATTTCCTCAAGGAAACTCTCCACATCCCCCTGAACAGGTCACATTTCTACTACAGTGAGATTCACTTCCCTTGGAGTAAAGTTTCCTGCACTCAATCGGACAACTCTGACGGCAATCTATCGAAAGCGAGTTTAAGCAGATGCTCACCTTACAATCCACCTCGGCTTGTTTGCGTCTGGTCTCACTAAGCTGAGTCTGCAGCCCTTTGTTTTGTGCTGTGATGTACTGCAGTTTGTCCTGCAGACCAGTACAAGCCTGCTCCGTTCGGTTCAGAAGGTTGCTATTCACTTGGTTCTGAGTAGAGAAGCAAAGATTTCCTGTCAGAGCAAAATATGGGGGATCGTGCATAGATCTTTGCAGGTGGCAGGACACATCCAGATGTCAGTAGGCAAACTGAATGGGATCTTGGGCTTCAAACAAAGAAAAATGGAAGGAGCTCATATTTAATCTTTACAAAGCTCTGGTTGGGCCACTAGAACTTTGAAGTCACCACACCTTAGGAACGGTGTGAGGGTCCTTGAGAGGTGCAGAGGAAATTTACCAGGATGGTTCCTGGGATGAGCGAATTTAGCTATGAGATCAGGGTACAGGAGCTACAGTTCTTTGCCTGGGAGCAGAGTGGGTTCAAGGGTGTTCTGATACAGCAGTACAAAATTATGACATGTTTAAATAAGATGAAGAAAAGCATTCCCATTAGCAAGGACCAGGGAACAAAGATTTAAGGCTTTTGGCAAGAAATACAAGGGAATGGGAGAAAGAACCTCCTTATTAGCAAATGATCAAGAATTCATTGCCTTACAATGGTTATTGGAAGCAAATGTTATGAATGATTTCAAAAGAAAATTTCAAAAAGGAAGAAGGAACTGAGTGAAGTAAATTTGCTGAGTTACAAGAGATATACTAGTGGAATGGGACAGGATACTCAGTCTACCATTACTGAGCAGTGACATATAATCAATGGGCTGAATGGCCTCCACACACGGTCATGAGTTCAATGTTCAGACAAAAGCAGCAGAAACCAGAAATAATTAGCCAATAGATCGCTAGTCACCACTGCTCAAGTTTGGATCTGATGCAGTTATTTCTGTCATTTATTTTTTGACGCATTGGGTCTCTGCAACAATAGCATCTCACACCCTGTGGTCTGGCAACTTAGAACTTGGCTGTGGAAAGCAAAGAAGTTATTAAAAAGTTGGAAGCAATTGGGCTTGCAAGTTATTCCTGGACATTTTCCCCAGCACCAGCTGTAGTAAGTGGATGTCAAAATGCACAACATTTAGTGAGGTTCAGCTACTTCCAGTAGGACATAGTTGGCAAACCCACATCCTTATTTGGACAGAGCTTGGTTCAGATTTTTAAATAAAAACCCTACATAAATAATCCGGTGTTATATCTAACATACATGTGGTATGTGGTATATCACTTAGTCACGATGAACAGTGCACTCAAAATTCACTCCGATGAACAGCTGCTTCATATTTCTGCTTCTCAGAAGTTTTACAATGAGATAACACATTGCTACATAGTTTTACGATTATCTTTAAATGTCAAAAGATTTTCTGAAATGTCAAGTGTTATGTGCTTTTAACTTCCTGTTGGCAGTCAGTTGCTGCAGGTTATGACAGCTCAGTGTATACTATAGGCTGTAAACTATATTAAACATGCAAATTGGCTAAAATTATTTATCTTAAATATTAAAAAGCTGCATGCGGTAAATAGCTCAACAATCTTTTTATCAAATACTGATTGAGTGAAGTTAACTGCTGCTGAGATTGTGGTAAATGCAGGTGATAACATCTCAACTACTGGAAAGACATTGCACACACCAGTTCTCTGAACTAAGAGGAGTTTACAAACTGGTTGATAGTGGTATTCTTATCCCTGACTGAATCCTCCTTTTTCAGCATACTGACAAATCCAAAGACTGTGGAATTCAGATGAGAATGTAATTTGGGTCTGGTCTTTGCACCAGTAAATGATCAAGCTGTGTCTGTCCACAAAACCATACAGGTTCAGTTCAGTATCTTTAGCCCAAAGTCATGGAGGGTTACACTTGTGGAAATATGCATTCTTACAAATGTATGTAAACCACTGAATAGTATTTTTCTAACTTTATCAGCAATTTGTATAGCACCTTAAAGTTTAAGAAAATAAGATACCTTAACCACTTATCAGAAACAGAAAATAAGGATTGGCCATTTGGCCCTTTGAGTTTGTTCTGTCATTCAGTACAATTATTGCTGATCATCCAACTCAATATTCTGTTTCCATTTTCTCCTCATACTCTTTGATCCCTTTATTCCCAAGAAGTATATCCAATTCTTTTTGAAAACATACAATGTCCTACCTCAACAGCCTTCTGTGACAGAGAATTCCACATGCTTACCACTCTCTGGGTGAAGACATTTCTCTTCATCTCAGTCTTAAATGGCCTACCCTGTCTCCTTAAACTTGAATCAGAGATAGTAGGAACTGCAGATGCTGGAGAATCTGAGACAACAAGGTGCAG